CGCAGCTGATTGATTCTCCCTCTCCCTCTCCCTCTCCCTCTCCCTCTCCCTCTCCCTCTCCCTCTCCTTTCCTCTCTGAAATCATTAAAAAAATATTTTTTTTAAAAAAACATCAGTTCCTCGGAGCCTCTGGAGGGACTTAGGCACAGAGACAAATAATAGCAACCCAGCATTGAAATGCTGTGACAACAGCAATAATAATGATAAGAATAGCAGCTAACCCCTGGCCAGTTTGGCTCAGGGGATGGAGCCTCGGCCTGTGGACCAAGGGTCCCTGGTTCGATTCCAGTCAAGGGCACGTACCTTGGTGGCAGGCTCCTCCCTGGCTTGGGCTTGGTTGGGGCTCATGCAGGAGGCAACCAATAGATGTGTTTCTCTCACATTGATGTTTCTCTCTAAAAATCAATAGAAAAAATATCCTTAAGTGAGGATTAAAAATAATAATAAAGGGAAAAAAAGAATAGCAGCTGACGTGTGGAGAACTGACTGTGCAGGCGCTGCAGTGAGCTTCACACTGCGAGTGAGCTAACCTCCCAGCAGCGAAAGGGTGGTGTTCTACTATCGTCCCCATTTACAGGCGACAGGAGGCGCTGGGAGGTTAGCCACGCTGCCCAAGGCCAGCTCGGGGCACTGGAGCCCGCTCCGGCCCCTGTGCCATGCGGACTCCGTCCTGTGGAGGCGGCGGGCGGGGCTGAGTGTGGGCACAGGCAGTGGCGGGGCCGTCACCGAGGCGACGCCTTATCAGCTGGCATCTGCCGGGTACGTGGGAGGCCCCAGGTGCGGGAGGTGAGCTCGCTTCCCAGCCTGAAGCAAAGTCACGGGAGGTGTGAAAGGAAAGCGTGAAGGAGGGCGGTGTTTCCAGGGAAGTCAGAGCCCGGTCCCTGGCGTGGAGGAGGCGCGGGGCTGGCCGCTGGCAGCGGGCGCGGACGCCGAGCAGCACCTGGACGTGGTCCAGGGCACCAGGAGCCAGGGAAGGTCTGGGGTGAATGCCTCCTGGCTGCTGGGGAGGGACAGGTCTGAGAGGCAGGGACTGCCCAGGAGACTGTGGGTCCGAAGGTCAGGGAGGCAATGTCTCTGCTTAGACCCTTCCTTCTCCCCTTCCTTCCTTCCCCCCTTCCTTCCTTCCTCCCTCCGTTCCTTCCTTCCTTCCTTCCTTCCTTCCTTCCTTCCTTCCTTCCTTCCTTCCTTCCTTCCTTCCTGCCTTCGAGTTAGAAACATCAGTGAGAGAGAAACATTGAGCAGCTGCCTCCTGCACGCCCCCCACTGGGGATGTGCCCACAACCAAGGTACATGCCCTTGACCGGGACTCGAACCCAGGACCCTTTGGTCCACAGGCTGACGCTCTATCCACTGAGCCACACCGGTTAGGGCAAGTCTCCTGTCTTATAAGGGAAGGCAGAAGAGGAGGGGGAGATGGAGGAGGAAGAGAGAGAGGAAGGAGGAGAAGGAAAAGGAGTTGGAGGAGATGGAGGAGGAGGAAGAGGAGGAAGAGATGAAGAAGGAGATGGAGGAGGGAGAGGAAGAGAAGGAGGAGATGAGGAGAAGAAAGCTAAAGTTTCACATTTTTTAATAAAAAATTGTCAATTAATGAATGCATCAATAAGTGGAACAACCATCTCTCTCTCTCTCTCTCTCTCTCTCTCTCTCTCTTCCTTAAATATACTAGAGGCCCAGTGCACGGATTTGTGCACTGGTGGGGTCCCTCAGCCTGGCCTGTGCCCTCTCACAATCCGGTACCCCTCAGGGGATGTTCGGCCTGATCCCTGGGTATTGGGCCAAAACCGGCAGTCCGACATCCCCCGAGGGATGTGGCAGTGTGTGAAGCGGCAGGCGTCCAGGGAGGAGCCCGAGCTGGGACCGGGCGCCACGCTGCTCCAGCTCATCCTGGTCCAGCCCCGCTGTGCCTGCCGCTGCTGCCACCGCTGCTCGTAGCGCTGCCATGGAGGCGGGAGAGTCTCAGGCCGCCACAGCTGTGCTCACCAGCTGTGAGCCTGGCTTCTGGCTGATCCGCACACCCGCTATGGGAGCGCACTGACCACCGGGGGTAGCTCCTGTGTTCAGTGTCTGCCCCCTGGTGGTCAGTGTGTGTCATAGCTACCTGTTGACCCGTCATCTGGTCATAAAGGTCACTTAGGTTTTTATATAGATAGATAGATGTTTATTGATTTCTGAGAGAACGGGAGAGGGAGAGATAGAAACATCAATGATGAGAGAAAACCATTGATTGGCTACCCCCTGCACGCCCCACACTGCTGATCGAGCCCACAACCCGGGCCTGTGCCCTGACCGGGAACCTCCTGACTCATAGGTTGATGCTCAACCACGAGCAGGCAGCCGGGCCTCTCTTTTTAACCAAAAAGAAAAGAAACCTCGCTCATCGTTGGCTGAGGGTGGGGAACAGGCATGGAGAGAAGTAACGCCTAGCCTCTGCGGGTGGCCGTTTGGCCGGAGACGAGCACAGTTGTGTGTTTTGTGTGCTCTCTGGACGGGCCGGTGAGGACAGTGGGGGACAGGGGCAGGGGTGGGGGCAATGTGCCTTGGAGGAAGTGGGGAGCCCAGCACCGGGATGTTGG